GGGGGGAATTAATGGGTGCTTATGTGGCAAGTAGAGAGAGAAAAAGGTAGAGGGGTGGCCGGCCAAGCAAAAGAAGAAAGAGGGGAAATTTTATTAATTAGTGGGCCCCATGTCATTAATTAAAATCTGATTTTAACTTTCAGATTTTATTTAATTAGGGAGATTTGAAATTTGAATTTAAATGGGATGAGAATTCAATTAATTCTATTCCTAAAGATATGGGTTACTTTAGGAAAGAAATAATGAAGGAATTAATTGGTGAAAATTCAAATTCCATGAGAAGCTGGACGGCGGGATCTCCCCAGGGAAGAGGCGGACGGCTGCTGGCTGTGGCGGCTTGGCTGTGGCCAGCGGCTGGCACAGCAGGCGCAAAGGAGGCGGGTGCAGGGAGTTTGGGATTGGCGGCAGAGGAAGGGGAGGCGGGTTCAAGCAGGGAATCGGGGGCTCAGGGAATTCTTCTTGGGGGGGGTCGGCTGTAGGAGAATATTAGAGAGGGAGGAAGGGTGGTCGGGTGAGTAGAATGGGGCGGAGCAGAGGAGGGATTTTCGGGATTTTGCCTGCAGGGAGGAAACGGGTGTATGGGGGGAATTGGTAGGGAAGAGAAAAACGATGAACTTACAAGGATGAGCCAAGAGCTCGCCGGAGCGGGCTGTTGGGTATTGCAGTCGGAGCCTCACCTAGGCCTCCTCTCTCTTTTCTCTCAAGCTCTCAAGCAAGAAGACAAAAGAAAAATCTTAGAAAATTTCATTCATTCCAAAACATTCATTAACCTCATACAACAAGAAGAGACCCCTTTATAAAGGTCTCAAAGCATGAAAAGAAAAAAGACTCATATGCCCCTTGGGCTACAATAAATACTACGCCTACATAAGGGCGAAAACGTCATTAGTACATGAAAATAAAAGATACATGAAATAAAATAACATGATAACATCAAAAGTATAAGCTCCCGATCGTAGCCGTCGATCTACGATTCCTTCGCCGATAAACCTGCCTAAAATGTCTGTCGATGACCTCATCAATTAGCTCCATGGTTTTGTGGTTCATGAATACGGTTATTGTCCAAATAACCAAGGCACAATCCTCTCGATGTTGATTATGTTTCATTTATATGGGTAAAAATTTTACTGCCGTCTCTGTTGTCATCATAAATTTTATGTATTATGAGTTCAATCGATTTATGGATAGATTGTAAAAAAAGGTGGCCTGTACAAGACCTAAAAATGTTTCACTTTAGTTTTCTTTTTTTCCCTGTTAAAAGTTTAGTCCGTTTACTTATACTCAGGTAACGTGGTTGAAGGCTGAGTTATGCAGATTGCTGGAGGAGAAGAGATCAGCTATCCTCAGGTCAGTGTCCTGTTGCAACTCATTTTTTAGCCATATTTAAGCCTTTAAAGAACTAGTTTCATTGGGAGAAAAAAAAATTGGTAAGGGTCTGTGATGACTTTGATTTATAAAATCTTCGTTCAGGGCATTATTTTGCATCAAGGACTAATGTGTAGTTAGAGAACTCTAAAAGCTTTATGTTAATTAGAATTTACAACTGAGGAATTTTCATTTTGTGAAAGCTGGAATTTTTATGCTGAGTTATGTTCTTTATGTAAGGTCACTTCAAATTGCGTATCCCCTGACATAGTTTCCGAATGCATGCTTTTATGGTTGATCGATCCATATTTCAAATTTGTATATTTCTCTAGTACCTTGATGGGAATTCTTACCTAGATTCTTTGGCAGCTCAAGTTGCAATTTTGCTATTTGATCCAGCGCACTAGTTGTTCAGGTTGAATTCAACTTACATGGTTTCAACAACCCTTAAGTTTTTATGGCTTATGTCTTGCAAACCAAATGTTAAGGAACCCGTATTGAATGGCTTAATTGAATTGATCTTTGTTGGTGTGGTTTAGAACCACAGGCTTTTGGTGTGTGTATATTACTTGGTTTCATCCCTGAGTATTATTACTTGGTTTCATCCTGGTTTCGTATTACTGCAATTTAGTTAGAGCAGCTTTTGGAAATTCGTTTGCAGTTTTATCCTGGTTTTCCTTACTAAATTGAAAAATTTTAAATGACATCTGTAAAAATGTCAATTCCTGTGGTCTGTATTTTTATATTTATTTGGAAAAGAATGAATGTAAATGCTTCTTTTTGTCTAGTAAGCACATGCTGTTCTTCCTTTGAAGTGCTGGAGGAAGATGGTGAGATTCTTATGTTATTTGCTTTTTGAATTCACCCTCCGCTTGTTGTTTAGTCTCCACGAGGGTGCTTCTGTCTGTAGGTTGGTTTATTTCTTTTGTTTGCGTTCACAGAATGCTTTTGGTTTTTCAACGGTCTGGTAGCATCAATGAGAGACTATTCTGATTTAAACAACTGAGGAAGCACATTGTTCTTTGTGGTTAAAATAATACCTTTGCCTGTTTATATGCTGTCTAAATTTTGTTTTCCTTTTATCTGATCATATTAGAGCTGATGAGTTGGAGGTAGCATTAATGGAGATGGTTAAGCAAGATAACAGACGCCATTTAAGTGCTAGGGTAAGTTTACGTTCACATTTCATCTAATATAATAGTTTAACATGGACGTGATCCTTTGTTGAGATTTTTATATATGGAATTCATAAACGTATTTACTTTCATTTTCTTAAGTTTTTAAGGCTTATTGATGCACAAACTTTTTGTTTTTAGTTTTAGGTTGTTGAGGTTCTCCAACATATGTCAGATTTGTACTGGTAAACCATCAGAAAACTGTTAAGGAGAGTTTCTACCCCATTATGTGTAGAACATTGCTTTATCCATTTCCAGGTGAGAGAGCTATGGAATCACAAAATTTTATTGTCACAATGACCATAAACACTTCTGCCTCCCGAGTGGCTCTTGGGAACTGATTTCAATGGTAGGCTGTGACTCTTGTGAGCTAGTTTAGCAACTGAAGCTACCTGATTACCTTACTATAAGACTGTAATGACCTTTAAGTTAAAAAAAAAATGATGTTTATCGATGATCAAAATGGACCTAAACGTTAGGGACTCAAGTAATTGAACTGTAAAAAGTACCAAGTATTTTTTTTTTTTAAGAATACATTCAAATTCTATTGGTGTATGTTTTGATTCTTTGTGTTCCTAGATGCGTCTTCGATCCATATTATTACTACTTGCTTTCGATGAAAATCTTATAACTTAAGGTTTTGACTAGTGCCACCAACATTGTATAGAACGTGAATAATATTATTGGCTCAAGAAAAATGTCGTGTCAGCATAAATCCCGCTTCACAAATTTAGGATTCCATTCTCCTTAAGGCAGATTGTAGTTAACCAAATTTCTCATGAGGACAATATTAGGGTTTAGTCAGATCCAGGTTTTTACTTCCTATTAGCATAAGCCCTCATAGTTTATTATCCATCTTACTGCGTAAGAGAGAACTCTCAATTAATGATAAATAATTTTAGGTATTTTAGTCTCAATTGTGGAGAGAATGGAGGTAAATTCGATCAAAATCACATGGTTCCGTCGTCTCGAGTATACCATAGGTTTCAATTTGCCAATATTAGCGATCGTTGATCATAGTGTTCAGAGAATTTGGTTAGCAGTCATGGGTTGCCTCCTCTCAGGGATCCTAAGTAAACTGAAGTGATTATAGGTGGGTTGTAATTTATGAAAGTTTGGGGTTTACATCTGTTAGAATGCCCAGTGATTAATTTAGTTTGGGATTTATGACTTTATTTAGAAGTTACCCATTTGTTTGAGTTGGTTCGGGGCTTATTTGAAGTAACCCGATCGGTTTAGAAATGGGTTTTACAGCTTTCATTCAGACTTGTTTTAGAAGCGGGTCTTATGACTTTCATTGAAAGTAGCCCGATTGTTTTAGAAGTGTGTTTTATAGATTTCATTGAAAGTAGCCCGAATAGCAGGTCTTACAACTTCTTTTGGAATACGCCTGTCTGTCTATTTTGGATAGGCTTACAGCTTCTGTTTTTAAAAGTGGCCTGAAGGTGGGTCTTACAACCTAGCCCTATAAGCAAGGCGGTCTGTTGGTGGGTCTTACTACTTTTATTAGAAGTAGTTCGTTGGTTTGTTTAAAAAATGGGTCTTATTGCTTCTATTAGAAGTAGCATGTTGGTGGGTCTTACTGCTTCTATTAGAAGTAGCCCAAACGTTTGAGTTTGTGTTAGGATAGACGACTTTCATTGAAAGTTGCCCGTATGTTTAATTTAGGTTGGGCCTTACGGCTCCACTAAAGAGTTGCTCGTTAGGTTAGTTTATGATGAAGTTTACAAATTACAACTTCGTTTAGAAGTTGCCAGCATGTTTGGTTGAAGGTTCATTACTTGTTGTAGAAGTTTTCCAAAGTTTTCCAAATAGCAGATCTTACAACTTCCCTTGAAAGATACCTAACTATTTTGGAAGGTCTTACGACTTCTGCACTTAGGAGTAACTTGAAGGTGGGTCTTACAACCTAGCCTTATAAGCTACATGACCCATTTAGTTTATTTTGGATAGGTCTTATGACTTCCCTTAGTAAGTAGCTTGGTTATTTTGATAGGTCATTATTCTCCCCACCATATACTTGGCCTGGTTATTTTGGTAGGTCATTATTCTCCCCACCATCCACTTTAAGTGTATGGTGGTACATTTCAAATCACATACCAAATTGTTGCTACTATATGCTAATGACTAGTCTTAGTTAAAAGTTATCTCTTGTCATTGGGAGCTATAATTAATCCTAGGGGCTTGTGTCTTTGGGAAACATGGACGCATAGCATAAAGTTCTGGAAATTGATAGCGAAATCTCTTGTTAGTGTCTTATCTTCAATATAATCTACCTTTTAAAAATTTGAACCGGATAACCAACACTCTCACAGCAAGCTGTGACGCGAATTTTTCGAGCCCACATCTAAATTCCATCAATAATACTCAAGATTTAATATTTTATCTTGATTTATATGCACCTCTAGAAATTGCGATAATTGCTGAAATAAAAATGATTGGGTATTTGGATATGTATATTGATAAGCTATTAAAGATGAGAGCTAAAGTCAGTATTGATGCAAACATGTTTGAGGCTTTGAATGTTTTGCAACCATACACAATTTTATTTTCTTTCTGGCTTAAAAAAAAATACTCACTGGAACAAAGCCATTGATTTTTTGTTTTCATTCTTCATAAATGCAGCAGCAGTTTATCAAACTTCTTCTAGATTCTAATCTTTCTATTCTGATTATTTATTCGATAGGTTGAGCAGTTGGAAAAGGAAATATCGGAGTTGTGGCAAGCTCTTACAGATAAACAGGAACAAGAACAAGCCATGCTTCAGGTTTCGTGTTACTTAAGTCTAATTTCCATGTTATAACTTAATACAATAATATGCTTCTTTCTCTATTTAATCTTCTACATCTTCCTTATGCCCTCATAATTATCAAAATGATAACTAAAGGTCTTGATGCGGGTTGAACAAGAGCAGAAAGTAACAGAAGATGCACGCATGTTTGCTGAGAAAGACGCTGCTGAACAAAAATATGTTGCACATATACTCCAGGTTCTTTCCTAGTTTTAAAATTTGCAATTTAGTTAATGGGTTTTCGTTTCTATGTCCCATCTATTTTTGTACTGTACATAGAAGGTTTCCAGAGGACCTGAGACAATTTTCTGTTTCAGTTGTGTAACATAAAAATCTTACCACAGGCTTATGTTGAAATGGTGTTTGGCCAGTCCTAGTTAGTTTTACTTACATCGCTTCAACTGAAAAGGAATGGTGGAAAAAATTGAAACCATTTCCATATTAGAAGTTGATTAGATTAGAAGAACAATTTCTTCTTAGACAATTTCTAAAGTACCATGCAAAAGCTTTAGCATGGTTAATTTGGGTTCACGGCCTACTATTGTCCTTAAAAAAGCAAAATGTTTGCATTGCATTTGTCTCTCTTAGAAGATACCGTTATAGTTTGTATCCACATACACTTTGAACCATCTTATATGCATATATAATCTGTTGTTTTCCAATGGGAACTAGGTTAGTATCGATGTGTGTGACCCTCAAGCAGTACTGGGATTACCTAATGCTTTTGCTAGATTTCTTTTCTGTACGGGGTTTTCTTGAGGCCTTTTTCCTGATTTTTTTTTTTCCAACTATGCCAGGTTTTTTGAAGACCCTGGCTTCAGTGACGTTATCTGACAGGACCTTACCCATCTCTAGACTTTTTACTGTTGTTATGTGATGGGAGCTTCTTTTCACTAGTTTAACTGTGTTTCTTAGGCTTCCTGTTCCTGCTTCGTTGTCATGGAAGGAATTCCAGAACCTTTCCTATCTTTATGTTTCTGTTGGATTCATGGTATCTTCTTTTGTGTGATTCTGTATTGGGGAATTCCAAAAGTCTGATAGGAAATACTTGAGTTCGCAAGTAATCTTATCAGAAATACTTTAGTTCGCAAGCAACCCTGACAATAATTGGTGAAAACAGTGAGAAAATTGCAAGAAAATTGAGGAAAGACAATCCAAATGATAGTGAATTTTATAGAACTCAAATCAAAGAAAACCCCAAGCAAAGATACAAGTGATCCTCAATTCGAGAGGAGGATCGTTTTCTCCCAAATCTCTAGATGAAATCTTGAGCCCAAAGACACCAAGAAGACTTCACAAGAACTCAATTTTCATCATATCCCTAACCCTAATTTTCCCTGAATTTTATTGCTTTACCTTTCTCTGCTTCTTTTATGTATTTACCCACTTCTATCAGATGCATGCAGGAAAAATATGAAGAAGCGATGGCTCTGTTTGCTCAAACGGAGAAGAGGGCAATAATGGCGGAAACAATGTTGGAGGCTACTTTGCAGTACCAGTCGAGCCAAATAAAGGCCCAGAAATCTCCATGCCCTTCCCCAAGGTAGCTTTTGACTGATTTTTTTATCATGTCACTCCTATTTACAGGGAACTTTTGCGCAGATTGAATATTTAGCATGTGTTGAATTTACGTATTTACTATGTTCATCACATCTAGATATGGCTTGTCAAACTCATATGTAATTGTATTTGTAGTTTTTACAAAACTAATATTCCCCTCAACGGCTGAGTAAAGTTGCTTCCTTATATTTATTTATTCAGATGTGTTCGTTTTTTAGTTTTAAGTTATCAATTTAGTTGTATGGATAAGTAGTACAACATTTGTTCAAGAAATTCTTTAAATTTTTTGTTGAATTGCAGGTCATCCTTGGATAATTCATATGCAAAGTTCGATCACGATTCTCAACAAGACATTCCGTCCAGAAAAGTCAGTCTGCTTTCTAGATCATTTGGCCTCGGATGGCGTGACAGAAACAAGGTAAACCTGAATTTCTTTTTTGGCGTTCTAAAGGTTTCCAATTGACTAATGCAAGGTTCTAATAGAAATAACATAAATAATGTTGTTTAGTTGGTTTAACATTTATGATTGTTACTGTCACACCTCGAATCCGGAAGGTGGTACACCCCGACAACACGAACTTTTATTTGGTCTGGTGAACGTACGTAGAGCTACGTTTGGCCGGCACTAAGATCGCAGGCACCAAACGAGAAATGCCGAGCAATACCAACAATAACGAGAAATACCATTATGTGAAGACAAAATACCGAGTAATACCGAGCAATACCGAGTAATCCCAAAAAATTAGAAAAACTCGGTGTTTTTTGGGATTACTCGGTATTGCTCGGTATTACTCGGTATTGGTCTTCACAGAGCGGTATTCCTCGTTATTACCAAACAATACCTAGCAATACCGACCAAATACCGAGCAAAAACCGAGTAACAATCCTCTGACCGAACGTAGAGCTACGTCCGGTCAGAGGACGTAATAAAAGTTTCGATAACACGGGTCGCGATGAAGGGATATAAAGATATATTTTGTACCCACAAAAAGAAACATTTATATACAAGTGATACAATATAATATAGATATACACACACACCAACGTAAACAGGGGAAGGAAAATTAAATAGTCAATTCATTAAGAAAAAATTAAATAAGCAGTACACCCAAGTAGCAGTAATAAAACAAGCAAAAAAACATAAATAGGTTAAATAATAGGAAAAGGAACTATCCAACCCACAACAAATATATAATAAACTACTACAAAATATAAAATATCAAAGTATAATTTATTACTGATAAATCTGCTATTGAGGTGAAGATCCACTAAATACGCTGGCTATAAAAAGAGACAATGGGTGAGTTTGATAAATCAAACTCAGCAAGTAACTCCTATCTATGAAAGTATAAACGAAAAAGATATGTGGAATGCAGTATGAACAATCAAAATATAGAAGTAGCCTATAGTCACTATATCAAAGTAGTCATGAGATATGTTATATTTCCTACAATATATTCTAGTCTGCTGGAATATGTCAAATAGCTATTGATGTTGAATCATTTCAAAGCTTACAAATGCACCACATTTTGTATCCTTATACTTTAAAATGACTTATCATTCATTTATTATTTTCTATTATTATATATATTTATACATTTATATAAATGTGCCATAGTCAGTTTACCAAATATTCATCACAGGGAAGGTAAATACCAACCCAATGAAATCCAATGATTTCTTATAGAGTTGATATTCTAAGGGTCCATCGGCCCTATTAGCTAAAATCTGATATGGTTCTACTGACATACACAATCAAACAGTGCAAGTGCTGTTATAAATAACTAACTGACATTATATAAATCAATATGAAAATCAGAATTTATATAACCAACATGACTTAAAGAAGAAGTATCATGTACTGCATTTAAATAAAACTGATTTGTATGAATTAATTTTTCACATCATGGATCATTTTAAGTGATAAGAGCTCGTGTATCAGCAAATCAATGTATTGTTTTTTCTACTACATCATTTCAATATGAGTCATAGAGAAGATTCCTGACATGCACAATATTAATTATAAATATTGAAAATAGAATTGGCAGCTTAGTATCTAACAACATATCACAAGCAAAAAAGATAGCGCCCCTAACAAAGAAAGGTACATTTATCCCAAAATAAATAATAGTTACTTCTCGACGAGAAATATGAAAATTCAAATCTACTAGATATTCAACTGACAGGGCTATGAGGCCAATTACTCGAAGGTCTTACAAACAAGAATCATATTAAAAGACTTCAATACACAAGACACTAAGCTTACACAACTTAACTAAATTTTATTTAATCAATCATGTAGGAACAATGTAGAAGGTATCTAAATAACATAGGATTCCCTAATTTTTGAACTAAATCGCAACATAAAAAGTGAACTTACAAAAATGAATAAAATTACAAAATCATATAAGTATGATTAATTAAGATCTGACGCCGTCAATCAAATCTAGGAATTCAAATAACAATAATAATAATAATAACTTACCCTTGTTGAATGGTCTCAAACAACAGGAAAGAGAGGAGAAGGAAGGCTCAACCTCGATCCGAGAGATGTAAGGTAGTAGGAAGGGAACCCTTCCCATCGATTTAGGGAGAACACCACAATGAAGAGAGAAAAGAGGGGAGAGATGGCTTTTGTGGAGTGAAAGAAACAAAGAGGAAGGAGAAGGGAGGATTTCGGCGGCTGCTACGAGCGAGAAAAGGTAGAAGAAGATGCGCACGATGGCTGCTGCGAGAGGGAGGGGAGGAAAATATGATGCCCTAAGTTTCCTATTGGGTTAAAATGGTGAGAGGAAGGTCGGCGAGGGCTGGAGGATTTCGTAAGGTGGTGAAATCGTGTGTTTTACATGATTGGAGGGAGAGACGTTGGGATTCGGCTCGGTTTGTGATCAAGGCTGAGGTGGCCTGCTGCTCGGCTTGGTTCTATTGGTGTATTGGTGTGCAAAGAGGGGAGCCGGTTTGCGTGAAATGCCTGGACTGAACGGTCCAGGTCATAACAGTTACTGGATTTGAGACTAATAGAATATACCGGGCATGGATATATAGAATGACATGCTCGTGTATTTTAAGTGTAAGGCCTAGTAAGTATGTCACCAATTTTAGCTATGTAATCATTGATGTGGTGGCATTGACTGCACACAAACTAATGTTTTGTTTTTGTCCACATACCCTTTGACTTTGGTGGCGGCGGAATGAATAGTAATTGGTATATTTCTCTGCATATTCTAACATGAGTAATATTCCCATCAAGGATTTGAGTACTCATTCATAGAGTAAGCAGGACATATTTAGGAGAAAGATTTGGTAATGTAATATTAGGAGTATATGAGGCCTGTCTTATATGTTAGTATATTAGCTATGTAACTATTGATGAGGTAGTATTAACTGGAGAGATTAATATCCGTTGAAATTTATTTAGTTTGTTCTGCTCTTTTTTAATTCTCACTAATTATTACAAATGCATAATAAGCAAGGTTTCAAAAAGGTAAAATCTATAATTGAAGCGTTTTGCCATATTAGTGAGATGAGGCGTTATCCCCAAATTGGAATTATAAAAAATTCATAAAATTAAATAAATTTATTATAATTCATCAACATATTAACTTTGTTCATTACCAAAAACCATAAAATCAAGCAAATCTTTATTTTAAATATTAATCTAGTTTAAAAGTGTGAAACAAGATTCAAGGTAAACAATTTAACTTCAAATACATTATTAGGATCAACCTTCGACAACATCCTCTTCTTGACTCTTAGCATCTTTAGAAAAATTTATCTATATAAAAATTTTATCATTCACTGATTTAGTCTCAATATCATCTTCAAAATATTTTTCAATTCACAATAATTTTCTTCTACTCTCTATATAAATTAACATTGGATTCAATATAATTCAAAAATAAATACCAAATTAATAACAAAACTAAAAATTCTATTATAATGAAATTATCTTTTGACTTTTTTTTATTCTTCATGCCAACTTTGCTTCTTTCATTTGAATGATTGTGAAGCATGAGTTGTACCAAACCTAATAGCCCTTCAATGTCAGCAATCATATATCCATTCTTATCATCACTAGAGAAAATTCTTTCCTCAACTTGAAATCCTTAACAATTTTGTGGTGTCCACCTCAGCATCCTCTTCTTCGCTTTTATCATACAACAACAACATCAAGCAATTATCCCACTACGTGGGGTCGGCTACATGAATCCTTTTTCTCTATTGTGTCTTATTAAAAGTCAAATTCTCGTTTAAATCTAATAAAGAAAGATCATTTCTAATATTTTTTAACCAATTCTTTTTAGGTATGCCTCTACCTTTTTTAACATAATTCAAATATAATACCTCTACTTTCCTAACCGGGTCATCGGAAGGCCGCCGTTTAATGTGACCAAACCATCTAAGGTGACTCTCTATAATCTTATCTTCTATTGGAGCTTCTTCAACCTTTTCACGTATATGCTCATTTCGTAACATTTCTCTAAGGGTAAAGCCACTCACCCACCTGAGCATCCTCATCTCTGCCACACTTAACTTAGTATTATGCTTCTCTTTTAATGGCCAACATTCGGCACCATAAAGCATTGCATGCCTCACTTTTATCATCTTTAGAAAAAATTATCTATATTCCAATTTTATTGTTCACTAATTTAGTCTCATTGTCATCTTTATTATTATTATTTTTTTCAATCACTATAATTTTCTTCTTACTCTCTATATAAATTAACATTCGATTTTGGGAATTGGTTTAATTGATGATGTAAGTGTGCTTAGACATCTCAAACCTTGGTGATTATATTTTGCCCTCAGATTGTTTCTCCATATAATTTAAACGGACTAGTTGCTCATTTACAAACCTCTTCTTGTTTCTGATATAGTGTCACAATCCTAAAAATAACAATGAATATTTCAAATATTTAAACCAATAGCTTCCATTTCTTTCACAGAATTAGGAACTTTATATCAACTTCAATCAAAAGATGAAATGCAGATCATAAGATTGGATGGGTGGAAAATAAGTGTACAAATCCGCTACATAACCCTATAATTGTTATCATAGCTTCATTCACACGTTTTGTTACTAGCTGGTAGAGGAATTACTTTCAACCAAACTCTCTTAATCATCATCAGTTCAAAATGACAAAAAATATACCATATGAAATTATTTCTGACACACAACTCACCTTGGCTAGTCTTAGGCTTCCATTTAAGAGGTGTTGGGTTCAAGTCTTTGTGTATACGCTGTGTGTATGTGAATTTGTCTTAATTGACCTAAATGTCAAAAAAAAAAAAAAATTCCGACACATTGTTGCACCAGTTCCAGATCAGTTCTCTTAACCTTTTAAGAGCCATTTTGTTATGGCATTTGATTAACACCAAGTAGCAGATTAACTGCCTAATGTCCTGTTCTAATCTACAGTTATTTTATATGATATATCTCTATGGTTCGAAGCATGTATGAAGTGGCTTCCTTCTCTAGTGGGCTTTGTTGCTTCCATTATTAACTTGGCATTTCTTAACTTCAGGAAAAACCAAGCAACCCTCTTGAGGAAGCAAGTGAAAGCAAGGGCAACAGTGATGGAGCTCAATTTCAACCTCCCACACCTACCAAAGATATGAATGGTCACCAACAGCTACAGCAGCAATAGCTTTGTCATGATCAAGCCAACTTTTCTCTTACCAGTTTGTTGAAGGCACTATCGATGGAGCAGTATTTAGCCTGGATTATTTTTCACTTGGTATGCATCAGTGAGCCCTATAGTTTTGATTTATTTTTATGTAAATTTTCAGAAAGTACTGTATTATAGTTTGTTCATTGTTTCACTGGATGATAATTGAGTTTCAAGCAGGTTAAGCAAGTTGAATCTCTTGTTCTCTTTCTGTGAGTTTTTTTTTATCATTCAAGATTTCTTTTTGTGAAGCAGATGGGAATTTCTTTCAGCACTTCAATGAAATATCCTTCCTGCTATCTCCGACTTAATTGTTAAAGAAAATTTCAATAAATTATATATACTAAAAAATATGGCATAACTAGCACTGGGTGCAGGAGAGAATCTAAATTATCTAAGCAAAATGAATCTCATTCTCATTTTTTATGTGAATTTATTTAGAGTGAAGCTTTCTGTTAGCCATTTTAATGATTCCACCGCAATACAACAAACTATTTTTGCTTAGGAGAATATTGATAAGTTTAAGTTGCTTCTTTTTTAAATATTTGATTTTTATTATTAAAAGATTTACTTACATGCTATAATGCTTTTATATATTTAAATATCTAATGCTTAAATCTTAATATTCATTTTTATAATATTTATATCCATAAATCATATAAAAATATCATTAATATTAATTTATCCAAAAAAAAATACATTTCTTTAAGATATGCTGTATATATATATAACATTAAAGCCAGCCAATCTAACTCTTAAGGCTTTGCAGAAGCTAAAATATTAATATGCAACAGAATCAAATAAAATTAATTGATATAATGAGCTAATAATAAGCATAGAAGCACTCACTAAGATGTCAGCTTCATTTGGGACGGCTTTCTTTATGCTTCATAAAATAATTTTCTAGCACAAAAATTTTAACTTTTTTACTAGAAAACTGCTTCAAAAAGACGTCCCAAATAAAACCTTCATTTAGAACAACTTTCTTATCGATTTATGTTTCAAACCGCAATCATTATTTAATTAATGAAACTAATTACTACCAAAACTAACATAGCATAAATTTAGTAGAAAAGAATGATCAACATTTCACAAAAATCTCTACTCATTACAAAGTTCATGGCCAAGCTGAATATTTCATTAGGACAAAATAGCAAATAGGTAAAGAATTTAACATGTTACTATACACAGCTACAAATACAATAAGCCTCGTGTAAATATATATTTAGGAAACATTTGAAGCTTGAAAGCCTTTGATAGTAACATGAGAAACTGAAAGATGTATCATGATATAGGAAAAATCGTCCTTAATAAGCAGAAAAAATTAGAGAAAATTACATTAACAAGCCATTGACCATCCTAACAAATTATAAGCGATCTACCTTGACATCATCTTCAACAATGCCATCACTGGCGTGCCTGCAACATGAATCGGTGTAATGAAAAAACAGTTAAGTTATTACAGGTTTAAAACTCATATCTTTCTTATATATATATAATTAAAATCAAAATGTCTTTGTTTATAATAGCACCCACTCAAACCATTAGATATATTATAAATCTATTTTTAGCAAATTCTTTTGAATTTTTATTCATGTCACCTTAAGTCTATCTTTTTTACTCCTAATCCTCTAATATTAAGTTTTTACAACCTTTTTCATCATTTTTTACCATTAGTTGTACATATCAAAATCATACAAACCTATTATTAATTACCTTAACTTTCATAGATGTCACTCTAACAATTCCTCTAATACAATAATTCATTAACTTATCCTAATTTTGCCACACATCAATCTTTAATATTTTTAACTTCGCTAAACTCAACTAAGATATCAATAATTTTTTTACAAGAAATGGATCAAAATGGTCCCTCAACTCTTTGTGAGGGACCAAAATAATCTCCGACTCAACTAAGATATCAATAATTTTTTTTAATTACTATTATTTAAAATTATATTTAATAAATAAATTAATTAAAAAATGACTAAAATACCTCTTATTTTAACACTACTAATCCCAAAATTTGTTGTTAGGACCAATTTTGTCCCTCAAAAGTTGGGTTGGTCCCTCACAAAAAAGTTGAGGGTCCATTTTGATCATTTTCTCAATTTTTTACAATCCAACACTCTAACCTATACAATTAAAAGAAATAAGTGAGAATTGAACATGCTATTAATGTCATGTGTATTTATAAATCTAACATCTACCCTAAAAAACTGACCAGTTAACTGTGTGTTTGCGCTTAACCTGATCAAACAATTGGGGATTTAACAAATGCATAAAACAAAAGGTTAGATTTTTGTGCTAAATTTTGATATTTGGGTGAGAATTTGATGAAAGAAAGTAAGAGAGTGATAGTTCAATAAAAAGGATATATATATATATATACATACAAAATAAGTAATGGGAGACAAATTGAAATTCTTTGGTTGAGCCAAACTTCTTGTGAGATAAGACAGTTCCATTAAGAAGATAGTCATAAAGTTTTAGGAGATTCTACAAATAGATCATACTACAAGGAGACTTGATTGTGGATTTAGGGAATATACAAAATTATAAGGAAAAGAAATGAGCCTTAAAAGAGTGGAAAATAAGAGCTTCATAATTCATTTAAAATAAGAAAGGTTTGAGTGCTACATGTCTATTTTCCTAAAAAATATAGAAAAAAATTAAAACTGAGAAGCATCAAACACTAAAGCCAAAACCAGAACAATAAATCTACTTTCATAGATCTTTAACCATGATAATTACTTAGAAACTTCAAAGATCAAATTACCTCCAAGATGTAGACAAAGTACGAGCTTTTCTGTCCAGCTGAATGTTCTCCAGCGCATTTGAAGCTCTGAGTACATCTTCAGAGAGGTCATTATCATATCTCCAATTGTGCTCATCCTTCCGAAAATTGGTAGCAGAGGATCCTAACCTTCGATCTGAATGCCACAGAACAAGAATACATTTAAGCACAAGTTTATAAAGAAATTTATCAAAAATAATTTAAAGCAACTTTTTACTTACCTGATGACTGGGAAGTTTGGCCATGCCTGAATAATTCACCAAAAAAATAGTTTGAAAGAATAAATGAGAGTAAAATTGGGAAACAAGAGTATTCCCAAGGGGAACATAATATTCACTATTTACCTTCCTAGGGGCGGCAGGCCACCAACAATTGTTGAAGAAGATTGTCTACGAGTATTCCTGGCATCCACACTCAGTACAGAGTCAACATCCGAAGTACCCAATTTTCTCCCACCCCTTGCTTGCAACAAATTCTGTGTTATGTAACCCAGTAGGAACACGAAACTAATTTCAGATATACGCCTACTCAATAATTGAGGTAGCCATCTTTCAGAAAGGCAAACAAGAAGAATTAACTACTTTAAAACCTATTGTAATGTACAAATGCAAGAACCTATAATAAAATATAATTAAGAAATTTCAACAATTTACTATATATTTATATATGTATTAAGGTGATAGTTTATACGAGAATATTGGAATAATTTGAACTAAATTTAAGTAATTTTAAATATGAGGTTTATTTAATGACAACTTTTATCAATTATATTTTCTTAGATATTAACCTCATATATTCATTAGTTAAAACCTATTAATTGTTAAATTTAGATTTATGTTAAGCAAGTATTTAAAATGTGATTCTTATGGTTATTGGGGTTTCAAAAAGAAATTGAATAAAAGAAAAAAATATTAAATAATAAGATCAAATAGTAGCAGAAGGAAGTATTTGCATTTAATTAATAAGGACAAAATAAAGGAAAGTTTAAATGTTCTACGATTGGATTTTAATAGTTCAATCATGAGCATTTAAATTAAATTACAGACATTAGTTATGGTTTATACACATGAGCAAGAGTAAAAGTTGATTAAAATTCTGTACTTTATTGAAAGAAAAAAATTATTAATTAATAATATTAACTTTAAAAATAAAATACAACAATAACAACAACATCATGCTTTTATCCCACTACGTGGAGTCGGCTACATGAATCCTTTTTCACCATTGTGTCCTATTAAAAGTCAAATTCTTGTGTAAATCCAACAAAGAAAGGTCATTCCTAATATTTTCTAACCAAGTCTTTTTATGTCTACCCCTACCATTCTTAACATAAATCAAGTCTACTACCTCTACTCTCCTAACCGGGTCATCGGAAGGCCGCCGTTTTATGTGACCAAACCATCTAAGGCGACTCTCTCTAATCTATCTTCTACTAGAGCAACTCCAACCTTTTCACGTACATGCTCATTTCATATCCTCTCTCTAAGGGTAAAGCCACTCATCCACCTAAGCATCCTCATCTCTGTCACACTTAACTTAGTATTATGCTTCTCTTTTAATGGCCAACATTCGGCACCATAAAGCATTGCAGGCCTCACTACCATCTTATAGAATTTTCCCTTAAGTTTGAGGGGTACATTTATATCACATAACAAGCCCAATGCATTCCTCCACTTCAACCATCCAACTTGAATTCTGCTGATAATATCCCCATCTATTTCACCATCACTCTGAACAATAGATCCAAGATATCTAAAACGTGTACTCTTATTGACTTGATCGTCCAAAGTCATAATCCCCTCACTAGGTCTATTACTACTAAAATTACACTCCATATATTCCGTTTTAGATCCACTCAAGCGAAAAACTTTAGACTCTAAGGTCAACCTCCATAATTCAAGTTTACCTTCAACTCCCTCTCTAGTCTTATCAACAAGAAGAATATCATCAGCAAAAAGCATACACCAAGGTACATCCTCTTGCAAATGTCTAGTAAGAACATCCATGACTAAAGCAAAAAGATATGGGCTTAAGGCTGATCATTTATGTAACCCAACCGAAATAGGGAAATACTTGGTCAATCCACCTTGTATTTGAACACAAGTAACAGCTCCTGCATACATATCTTTAATGATTTGAATATAAGCATTATTGACTCCTTTCTTTTCAAGAACTCTCCATAGCACTTCTCTTGGAACTTTATCATATGCTTTTTCTAAATCAATAAATATCATATGTAGATCCTCCTTATTTTCTCTATATCTCTCCATCAAACCTCTTAATAAATGTATGGCTTCCATAGTCGACCTACCCGGCATGAATCCAAATTGATTTTGAGAAACATTAGTATCACGCCGCAACCTATGCTCCATAACTCGCTCCCATAGTTTTAAAGTATGACACATTAACTTAATACCTCTATAATTCGCACAATCTTGTGCATCACCTTTATTCTTAAAAATAGGAATTAACACACTCATTCTCCACTCATCTGGCATCTTTTTAGTCTTCAAAATAGTATTAAAAAGTTTAGTAAGCCATGAAATTCCTTCATCTCCTAAGCATTTCCACACCTCTATTGGAATATCATCAGGTCCAACAGCTTTTCCACCCTTCATTTTCTTTAAAGCATCTCTAACTTCAGTTTTACTAATACGCCGATAAAAACAGAAATCTTTACTTTCATTTAAAGTCCTAATGTCACTATAGTCAATCTTATTTTTACA